ATTTCTATGCCGCCCCATTCGCCGAAGCCTCGGGGTGGCTCACAACATTAGGTTAAAATACAAGAAATAACAATATAAAATAAGTCGCCCTGGCCAGATAAAGTCGCCCTGGCTATTTCAATGGACTGCTGATATCATGCACAGCGGCTCAAAGGCAACACCTTCTGGATACCTATGCTGAATAGCTGAACAGTGGATGCGGATAACAATGGCTGATGTCAAAGCCATAGCTGCCAAACCTTTGTATGTTGACATACTGAAAAGTAAAGGCTGCTATTTTATTTTATTTTATTTTATGAAGCCAATTCAGAGCAGCTCCTCCTCCCTGTACTTAGTCGCGGGTAAAAGAAGAAGAAAAGGAGACTGGTGATAGCTACAACATTAAAATAATGTGTGCTCTGGGACCCAGTTTTTGGAGAGAAACACTGGAATCTAGTACAACAAAACCATTAATAAAGAAAATCTTCTGCTCCAGAATTACATGTTTAATCCACTCAAGAGGATTAGATTCTTTTTTGTCTGTTTTTGTCTTACCTTTTGCAAGTCCTCAAAAGATTTCTCTGTCTCCTTTAGCTTCTCTAAGATGATTTGCTCTTTGGCAGATATTTGAGATTCTTCACTTTCTAGCTTTTCTATTTCTTGTTCTAACCTGGAAAATACATTAAAGCATATCTCAATCATCTGGGGAAAACTTCTCCTCACAAGGTATGTAGATGAGAAACAATAACTTATTTTGAGGTTGTTCTTAAAACCTCTGCCACAAGACAATTTTTAAAAGGGCAATTTTTAAAAAGAGATAGATGCATCTGTGCCAGTTTATAAATTCACACATGCATATAAATCATTGGCTTCCCTATAACTGATTATCCCACATGATGATTAGCAACTGAATGTATGATGTGAAGTCAAACTACACCTTAGGTTAAAAGTGTAGAATGAAGCTTCTTTTGTTTATTTATAACCACACGGGGTGTTGACCTGGGTTGAGAACAGCACACATGGGAACATCCACACACCCAGCTCTTTCCCTGTAAAATATCCCCCTGCATAGCAGTTAAAAGGGAAAAAAAGGGGAAAAAACCCTTCAATGTCAATGGCACCAGTGGAAGCTTTTTTTTCTTTTTCCTGTCATGCCAAGGAGGATTTAGGTAGGAAATTTGGTTGATAGTACAAAATTGCATTGTTCAAGCATACGAGTACAAACAATGGGAACAATTCAACAGAGTTCCCAGCTATGAGGTCACCAAAGGCCATGAGGTAGAACAGAAGTCCTGCAGCACCACCTTCTAGGGCCATTCAAATGCAGCCACCATAACACCATATTTCCAAGACCTAATCCACTAAAATACCCCAGAATGCCATCATCAATGGGATCAAAAGCCACTAAGAGATTTAGGGGAATCTATAAAGTTATAGTTCCAACATCCATTCCCTGGTATAAATCAACCACCAGGACAATCAAGGTTCTTTCTGTCTAAAAATCAGGCCACAAACCGTTATTAAAAATATCCAAGATTTCCTGGATACTGGATACTACCTTCTCTAATACTTTTCCCAAAATGACAAATTAAATACTGGATGCAAATTGCCCAAAACAGATCCTGACTTCTGTTCAGCCATATTTTCCTCAACGGTTTTATTTTTCCGTTTTGGCCATTGTGGGAACAATTACTTCATTGCCCTCAGATATTCAAAGCACAAATGACCAGCCTTGGCTTTATGATGAACAGTGCTGTCTGTTATTCCCCTTCCAGACAGTGACCATGAGGTTGGTCAAATAGGTGGGAAGCTCCCTGAAAGACATGAGGAACTAATTTGGGATTCATCAGCCTCCATGAGAAGACCACTGAATTAGGAAGCCAATCCCTTCTGTTGATTAGAGGCAACATACAGATAAAAATGATTAGATAATAATTCTAATTCTCCAAAATCACTGTAAAACATGTTTTGGCTCACTCCTGTTTTGGCTTGTTCAAAGGGGAACTGGCACATTTCTGTATGTATTTTTACAGAAATGCACACCTTTCCTCCACTGAAAGGTGCAATCCTGTGGCTGCTAGGTAGAATGGCCACAGGATAATTCTGGAGATGGGCTTTTGCAGGCATCCAGAGGGCATGTTGGGAAAAAGACCAGAATGCATATGCAGTACCCTGGTAGTGTCCCACTTCCTTTCCTCGTGCTCTGAGGCCAAACACTTGTTGTTATGTGCCATCAAGTCATCTTCGACTTACGGCGACCCTATAAATGAATGGCCTCCAAAATGGTCTTTCCTTGACAGTCCTGCTTAGCTATCGTACATTCAAGGCTGCGGCTTCTTTTATGGAATTGATCCATCCCATTGCTGTTCTTCCTCCTCCTCCTCAACTTTCTGTTTCCCTAGCATTACTGTCTTCACCAGTGAGTCTTGCCTTCTCAGTGCCCAAAGTGTGACAGTTCATCATCGTTGCTTTCAGGGAAAGTTCTGGCTGGATTTGATCTAGGACCCATTTGTTTGTCTTTCCGTCAGTTAAGGGTATTTGCAAAGCTTTCATCCGACACAATGATTCAACAAACCTATCAATTTTCTTCTGGTCAGTTTGCTTCACTGTCCAGCTTTCATATCCATACATAATGAGCCAAACACCTACACTCCTAAGTATTTTTGCACGGTGGGAGAAGTACAGGGGCAACTTTCATCTTCATGCTCTTCCCATCATGCAAAGGATGCCTTCCAAGTTCAGACTGTAATGGGTAGCCACACTGAATTGCACTGTAAAAAGCCTAGCTCTTAGGGAAATATGCATGTAACAAAAGAATACATTTTAAACACAGTTGCAAATTTGGGTATTTATGAACATTTCTCAAGCAGCAGAAGTCTTTCTACCCTTGTTTGTATCCAGGACTGTGAACAGGACATGATTGCAAGTTTTGCAAAGAGAAATGAAATTCTGACACATCCCCATGCAAACTTCTGAAGAACAGAACAATCCAAGGCAATTTCCTTTTGCTATGTATCATGAATGTCTAGAAACCTGACTTAAACATAAATGTGTAAAACAGAGATGACCTGGCAATGTGCTACTTCAATTAACCTTATTAGTAACTGGGCCTTCTACCATTTATTTCCACTTACAATAAAACCGTCAAAAACATTGTACTGTACAGCTCCTTCCTTCTTCCTGTCTGTCTGCAATTGTCACTGAACACCTGACAAGGAAATGATTTCCTCATCTTGCCTCTTAAATGTATCACAAGCCTCAATTTCAAACAAAATGAACACACAGCCAAGTCATCCAAGCAGCTGCCGCCACCGTCGCTACGCCGGAACTGAGGTGCGCCGCCAAGCCGGAGGCCAGCTGATGCCGCTCCCGTGGCCACCGCTGGGCCACCCCGGGGACGGAGGATGCCATGGCCATGCCAGGGCCGCTGTCGACGATGTGGAGGAGGGCGCCGCCGTCTCGCCGCCTGGCGGGTTTTCACGCCCCTCTCTGCCCCCACCACCGGCGTCGGTGAGAGCAACGCCGGATTGGGGCGGGGCATGTGGGCAGGCGCCGGCTTAACCCACCGGACACGGCCTGGGGGCCGATGGCCAAAGGGCGGTTGCCGCCGTTTGTGGCCATTCGTGGCCGTGCGGGGCTGAGCTGGCGAGGGGCTAGGTCGGTGGGTGGAATTTTGTATCGGAGGGGGGTAGACGGGGAGTTTTTACTGTTTTAAAGTTTTATTGTATTTTAATTTTGTTTTTATGGAGTCGTCCCTGGCCATGTCGGTTTGAGTTTCTGGGGGAGCTTGTGGGCTCCGCTATTGGGGTGGTCACGGGCAATGGACGTTACAGCGGTGGGAGCTTAACGTGTCCACATAGAAGAAGGAGGGATAGATGGCTGACACCTGTCCCTCCTTCTGGTTTTACCCCTAGCCAGAGGGTTCCAGGTAGTCTTGTCAACCGCCCCTCGGGCCTGACAGTGCTGCTGCTTAATGCCAGGTCGGTCCACAATAAATCTTCCCTCATCCATGACTTGATTGTGGATGAGGGGGCCGACCTGGCTTGCATAACAGAGACCTGGGTGGGAGGGGGGGGGATGTCGCCCTCTCAAATGTGCCCGCCCGGGTATCTGGTTCAGCACCGTCCATGCCTGGAGGGGAGGGGAGGGGGTCCCTTTGGTTTACCGAGCCTCCATCTCCCTCACGGGACTTCCAGTCCCTTCAAGACCAGGGCTGGAGTGTCTCTACTTGGTGTTGGGTGACCGAGACAGATTGGGGATTCTGTTGGTGTACCGTGCACCCTTCTGCCCAACAGTCTCCCTGCCTGAGCTGACGGAGATTGTCTCGGACCTGGTGTTGAGGACCCCCAGGATGTTGGTCCTGGGGGACTTCAATTTCCATGCCGAGACTGGTCTGACCGGGGCGGCTCAGGACTTCATGGCCTCCATGACGGCCATGGAGCTGTCTCAACATGTCACAGGCCCGACCCATGAACGTGGACACACTCTGGACCTGGTTTTCTCGATGGGGCAGGAAGAGGGTGGTCTGAGGGTGAGTAATTTATGTCTGACATCCTTGTCATGGTCAGATCACTTCCTCGTGAGGTTTGTGCTCGAGAGCGGCCTCTCCCTCTGTAAGGGGGCGGACCCGATTGTGTGGGTCCGCCCTGGAGCCGGATGGATCCGGATGGATTCCTGAAGGCCCTGGGGGAGTTTCCGGCTGACAAGACTGGTGCTCCTGTCGAGGCTCTGGTCGAACTATGGAATGGGGAGATGACTAGGGCTGTTGACACGATCACTCCCAAGCGTCCTCTCCCACCGGGCAGAGCCCACTCTTCCCCTTGCTATACACCTGAATTGTGGGTGATGAAGCAGGCCGGGAGACGGCTAGAGCGTAGGTGGAGGAGATCACTGGATGAATCTGACCGAACAGACTTAAGAGCCCATTATCGGGCCTATGCTGTGGCGGTGAGGGTGGCAAAAAAGAAATTCTTCTCTGTTTCCATTGCCTCCTCAAAATGCCATCCAGCGGGTGGTACAAGGGCTGGTCCGTCCTGGCCCTAAGAAAGATCTGGTTCCACCCTCAAAGGCCTGCTGTGACGACTTTGCCAAGCATTTCAGGGAGAAAATCGCTCAGATTCGTCACGAGCTAGACTCTCCTAGTGACTCAGAGGCTTCTGGGGAAATACCAATGCCGCCGTCTGGTCCAAAATTAATGGATGAATTTCAGTTATTGTGGCCTGATGATGTGGACAAGGTGCTTGGACAAGTACGTCCCACCACTTGCCTATTGGACCCTTGCCCATCTTGGTTAATAAACAACGCCAAGCACGGGATTGGGATCTGGATCTTGGAAGTGGTTAACGCTTCTCTGAGGGAGGGTCGGGTACATGCCCATTTAAAGGAGGCGGTAGTCCGACCGGTCCTGAAGAAAGCATCACTGGATCCAGAGATGGCCACTAATTATAGACCAGTGGCCAACATCCCGTTTCTGGGCAAGGTGTTGGAGCGGGTGGTGGCGGGACAACTCCAAGCACTCTTGGATGAAACTGATTATCTGGACCCATTTCAGTCCAGCTTCAGACCCGGGTACGGTACTGAATCTGCCTTGGTCGCCCTGTACGATGACCTGTGCAGGGAGAAGGACAGGGGGAGTGCGTCCCTGTTGGTTCTCCTGGACCTCTCAGCGGC